TAGGTCACACACCCTTTCTGATCCACACACACACACTTGTATGTACGCATGGATGCACGTATTACTCACAAAGCTAATAGAAAGCCTATCCGCTCTTGTCTGTGTGTCCTCAGGGTCCGCTGATTGCTACTGCGAAAGAGAGAGATTTTCACGGCCGAACACCGCATTAAAGAACTTTAAAAAAAGAAAAAATAAAAAAACATTAAGAAAAGTGATCGGAAAAAAATATATATAGATATTTCAAAAAGAGGAAGTCAGTCAACCCCCCGACCCAGTGAACCCCTGAATTTCCCCCTGTTTGTGATTCTTCCGACGTTCATCGCCTTAAATCTGAAGTAGTTTCATGAAGATGCAAAGAATCTGGTTCTCATCATTTGTGTTGAAATTATAAACGTTGCTTTTTCAAGAAGCAAACCAAACAAGTGATGACTTTGTAACAAAACTGTGGTTAACTGAACGAATATGCCAGACAAAGACTCCCTGGAATTTTTATTTCTCAACAGTAATTCGACGGCAGCGGCTGTGCTGAAGAGTCGCCTGGAAGCGGACTGCAAAGAGTAACATATACCGTATGCATACTGATGAAAGTAGTGAGAATACCACACACATAGTAGTAGATGACATCCAGTCAAATCGCTGTTACCCTTTCCATAACCAACCCATGACATGCCAGCCGGTTCAGTAACCCCTCCACCCCCCCACGATTCCCTCACCCCAACGTTTATGTACAATATCTTACAGGAAAGACATAAAAACCATTGCTTTAAAACCAATTACAGAGTAAAAATACCTTACAGATTATATTATTATGTCAAATTTAACAATATTTACAAGGTTTTTGTTTTTAAAGACTAGCAATAATATACATTTTAGTTTTTTTTTTTCCATGTTTCCGATGATGCCTTGAGTTTTAAAAAGGAACTTCGTTGGATATTGTTCTTCCTTTGTTAAAAACGGTTTATTCAGACCCAAAGACCATCTCGCAACGGCTTTTTCCTCCTCTGTTCACATCAGAACAGCTTTGAAAGGATTATCATGATGAAAACAAATATTAATTGAAATAAAATTAATAATAATAAAAAAACTAAATAGATCCTCTGCGTCTTTGTCAAGATTGACAAATTTTTCCTCAAAAAGAGATTTTCTTTTTTATTTTTTTTTTTTTGCCAGTTTTGTTTTTCCTACCTTCAAAAGAAAAATGGATAACGGAGGGGAGACCTAGTTAATTAGACTACATGAGGACAAAAGAGGGAGAGACGGGGATGTTATGTTGAAGTGAGGATTAGTACAGCAAAAGAGTTCAGGATTTTAAAAAGATATTCAGTCGTGGGTGGAGCCACCAGGGAGCCAGGAGATCCCGGTAGAGCCCTGTGGCCGGCCAATCAGGTTTACCGATCAGTGGGCAGGCCAGCATTTGATTGGCTCATCAGCAGAGGAGAAGCCCTCCATCTTCAGTGACCTGAGTCTTCTCAGTGGTAGCCATTAGTGAA